AACCATGCAGGCAAACCTTGGTGCCACTGCTTATCAGCCAGGCAGTGACTTGCCCTCCCCGTACCTTGTTGCGTCTCCTGCATCAAACAGATATGGCAGCAGGACCCACCTTAGAGCATGTGGGAATGTTTAGAGGTTGTCCCAGGGCACTCAACAGGGCCTGGAACACAGAAAGCTTTCCTTACACTCATGTTTTCTTCTCTACTTTCTCTATCATGTTTCTTGATTGTGGGAGCCTGTGCTGCTCTGGGTTTTCCAAGAAAAAGATGTTGAGATGGGATTTTATCAGGGGAGACACCAGTGAGAAAACATAGTCAGGGAAGTGGGGGAGACCAGGAGACACATTGGACCACAATGCCAGTGAAGAAGAGGGAAGGAAGGTTGAGTGGAAGCCCTTAGACCCCCATGCCATAGGAAAGACCTCAAGTCAAAGCAGGCCATTTTAGGAGGATTGCTTGAGGCCAGCCTGGGTAACGTAGGGAGACCCTGCCTTTTAAACAACAGCATCAATAGCAACAGAGGACTCCCAGGGTTTCCCTGGAATGGGCCTGCATTAGCAATACCCCTGCTGCACTGAGTTGGCTGGCACTGCCTGCAGAAGGAGTAAACTCAGTGCAAATGCCATGATGGGTTTCCTGTGTCCTTTACTCTTAATGTAGTTGAGGGTCTGTGAGGCATATCCCGTGGCTTCATAGACTCCTCCAGACTTTGAGGTCCCACAGTGCCCTGCCTCATCGCCTGCAGGGGATATAATCCCTGAGCCCAGCCTAAGTGTGACCCACACAAGCATCTCTCAATGTTTGTGGGATGAAGGAGCAGACTAGAGTCTGCAGTCCTGATGGGGATGGTTTCAAAGCTGGTTTCCTTGCACGGGAGAGTGCTCCAGTGTATTCTCAATCCCCTTTCTTTCTGGAAATTAACGACGTGACTTCTTTTGAGCTCAGCTGACTGGTCTGCACTTCCTCTTTGAGGGGAAACTCTTTTCATGTGTAAATTGCCCCAAGTGCCTTCTCAACTTGGCCCCCACCGCCATCCGAGCCATATTCTCCTACAATCGCTCCCTTGCCAATAACACCACCAAAGCTACAACTGAAAATCAAAGAACATTTTTAATGAAAAAGGCCCTTTATATCTCTTTTTCCGGCAAATCTACTGCAATAATTTTGAGGATGTTAGTGACATTTAAACCCTTCTAGATATTCCTATCCTAGGGGGAGGCTGTTCTTGCAACATAGTTTCAAGTAGTAAAATCTCTTTACATTTCACCTGTGACCTTTTCTTTCATATAATGTCAACAATATAGAAAACAAATGTTTGAAGTTTCTGAGACAGGTTTTGGTGCTTGGCTAACCAACCTTCTCGCCATTATTCACATTCATTATTCAGGAAGTGTCTTTAGAGAGCCTTTCTAATAAGGTTAATTTGCATATGCATGTCTCTTTTGTACTTCATGCTATCTGAGCATGGCACATGCTAACATTTTTAAAAATATCCTTTCACATTATAAAAATATTAAGAGGAATTTCTTAATTTAAGTATCCTGACAAACTGCTCTTCCTTGGTAAAGTGTGGAATGAGTAGCTGTCATTTGAAAAACAAGTTAGCCAAGAACAAAGCAAGCTTTGCTTCTGCAGGGAGAAGTGATAGATACCCCTTGGCAATCTTGTTTGGAACCTGCATCTATGAATCTTTAAGCACCTACTGGGACCAGAATTTTGTCTGCCGCATCTCATCTAATCCTCTTAGCATCCCTGCAACCTAGAGGTTATCACTTCCATTTCATAGACAGGAAAGTGAGGCTCAGCGAGGCAGTTAACTTGCCCACTGTCTTAGGATTAATACCTGGCAGATCAGGGTCTGGCTCTCAGCATTTTCAGAATGCAAACCAAGGCTGTGTCCCCTTTGCTGCTCTACAATTCACAGCAGAGGTGATTGTGTGATCTGGGGCTTCCCACCTAGACTGCCATTGAATAAGAAGGGGGGAGGCACACCCAGGCACCTGTTCTTAAAATGCCCTCTTCCTTCCAAATGATCTCCATGTGCAGCTGGGGTTGGTGGAGAATGACTTCCCTGGGAGATGCAAACACACATCCATGGACCACACTTGGCTAAAGTGAGGAGGTTTAGTTTGAGGTGGTTCTGTCTTCTCCACAGTAGACTTGGGTGCAGTTCTGCTGTCTAAGTAGGGGGAAAAACTAAGATGTTTCTGCTTAAAGGGAATCGGTTGAGTTTTAGCCCAGGAAATGTAGGCAAGATATGCTTGCTGTGAGGGAAATGACTGTTCAGGGAAGCTCAACATCCCCGGATCCTCACTCTCTCTCTCTGGTGACAGCACATTGATTGTGTTTGGGTCAGCCAACCTTCTCCCCTCCCTCACTATGAGTGCACCAGCTGCTGCAGACTTAGGCACACCACCCAGCCCTGGCCAGTCAGGACACAGTATCTCCCAGCTCTGTGATTGGTTCGGGATGCTCACAAAACCCATGCCAAGCAGTCAGGTCCAATTTGCCAATCTGGGGATCTTTGCTTGGATTTCAAAAGAGATGCATTCCACTCCTTCTTCTCTCCCCGACTTCCCCTGACAAGCCTTGGGTCTGTGAAAGCCTTGAGCTATGGTGAGCATCTTCGTTTCATAAGGAAAGAGCCAGCTGAGAATGGAGCCGGCATGGAAAAGTCAAGTAGAGAGATAGAGGGAGACCACATTCTGCATTGCTTAAGCCCCTGGATCTTGCTGAGGCTTGCTCATAAACTTCACAGTTATGGAAGACAGAAAATCTTCCTTTTTGCTTAAGATGGTTAGGGTTGCATTTTCTGTCACTTACATCTGAAAAAAGTTCTAACTGATGTAGGATATCAGGCACCACTTTCACGTCAATCTAAATAAAGGAAATATGCTTCTCTGGTAGTAATTACATTTAGCCAGTCGTTCCATAAATATTTATGGAACTTTTGCTTTTTGCCACTCATTCTGCTACATTGCTATGGGAAATTCTGAGGCAGCCCTCAAGGGACAGATGGCCTGGTGGGAAGAGGACTGGAAGAAGAAGACAAAGGTAAAACCAGGTGGAAAGGAAAGGTACCCAAAAGATGCAACTCATAGGCTAAAGGGTCCCAGGGGAGCGCACACTCTGAGAGAAGGCTTGAGAAAGGCTTCTTTTCTGATGTGAGACTGCATCTTCTGTCCTCCAAAGCCCAGGGGCTCAGCTCAGCACCTGGCACAGGATGAGTGCTCAGTGAATCCTTAAAGGGTGAATGGCTTTGTGGAAGATGTGGCACTGAGGAGCAGGACAGCTGAACCCCTGAGCCATGCCTCCAGGCAAAAGGTGAGCAATCATAGATCCCTGCCCAGAATTCATGCTGCCACACAGTCTGTTGGAAGAAGGAAGGCTTCACCGTTTGAATAGAGCAGCAAAATAAGTTCCAACTAGATGTTCAGCAGTGATCTCATTTCTATCCATTTGGTTAAATGGGAACCTCCTAGGATCTGTCTTTGTCTTTAGATTTCTTGATAAATAATCCTTTTTGAAGAAACAGAAATATGATTGTTAATTATTTTCTGACTATAATTTTTCTATGCTTACAAAATTTTCATGGAATGCATTCAACCATAAAGAAGAAACAAATTCTATAATTATATTACCAAGAAATAACCACTTCTAATGAACACGCCCACACACATACAAACACATACACACACATGCATGCATATACAAAAAGGAGAACATTCTGATGTTAAAGTTAATCCACTTTAACGTTATGTCATGTCTTTCCATGTCAACAAATAGAGATGTACATTATTGTTTTAATGACTGCTGAATATTCTATTGTAGAGATGAACTAAAATTAATGGAACCAATTTTTTGTTGTTGGGCATTTAGGATTATTCCAGTTTCATGCTATTATAAAACCACTGCTGTGAATGAACATCCTTATAGCTAAAATAGTCCCATTCTAAATAATTTTCTTCAGATAAATTCCTAGAAGTGCAATTGCTGGGTCAACTGAGATGCATGTTTCTAAAGCTCTGTGGTACATGTGGCCAGATTGACTCTTGCTGTTTTCTCTTCCCGATACTGGGTGTTACGATTTTTCTTTTTCTTTTTTTGGCCATCTGAAGGATGGGGACATACAGACTTGTGTTAAGAGTGTCAGATGAGGAGTCATGCTGGTTTCTCCTGTTCCCTTCCCAGAGAGACTCTCTGACAAACAAACCTTTCTCCTGGACATGGATCTGAGCAGAATAACAGGCACCCCGTCTGTGAACCTTGCCTCTAAGTTTGAAGGGGCTAGGAACATCACTTTGCCAGTCTCATGTTTCAGGAAAATTACCTCCTTTTCCCTTTAATCCCAGGTCAGTGTTCCTCTGAGTGCTTAGGACGCCAGGTTCTTGACACAGTGGAGAAACAGAGAGAAAATGAAACTGCAGGTCCTGTCAGCTGATTTAGGAAAGAACTGGGAGCTCCTATGTTTCTCAATGACAGTAGGGTCATTTTATCATGCCACAGTCCTAGGAAATCAGGGATGATACTGGCAGGGGTTTTGTTAGAGAAAAGTCTAGTTTTCCAACAAACATATGAGAAAATGCTCATCATCACTGATCATTAGAGAAATGCAAATCAAAACCACATTGAGATAACATCCCATTACTGGGTATATACCCAGTAATTATAGGATTATAAATCATTCTATTATAAAGACACAAGCACATGTATGTTCATCACTGCACTGTTTACGATAGCAAAGACCTGGTACCAACCCAAATGCCCATCCATGATAGACTGAACAAGGAAAATGTGGCACATATATACCATGGAATACTATGCAGCCATAAAAAATGACAAGTTCGTGTCCTTTGTAGAGACATGGATGAATCTAGAAACCATCATTCCCAGAAAACCGGTACAAAAACAGAAAACCAAACCAAATACTGCATGTTTTGACTCATAGGTGGGTGATGAACTAGGGAACAACACTCACTGGGGTACGTGGGGTGGGTGGAGTGGAGGGGAGGGACATCATGGGGTGGGGAGGATGGTGAGGGATAACACCAGGAGGAATGCCTGATGTAGGCAATGGGGCGGGGCAGGGGGATGGAGATAGCAAACTACCATGGCATGTATGTACTTATGCAACAATCCTGCAGGATGCAGGATGTGCACATGTACCCCAGAGCCCAAAGTACAATAAAAAAAGAAAAGAAAAGAAAGAAAAAAGCCTAGTTTTATTCTTGCCACAATTATTATTCTTCCTTCTTTCTCCCCATTAAAGTTTAATGCTGCACTCTCAGCAAGGGTGCTTTTCCTTGATTGATGGGCACTTCATCAGCTGAATCCATGTGGAATGATAACCAACAGAAGGCCCAGTGGGAAGAACAAGCTCCCTCAGCTGGGAGTGGTGCTCCTGAAAGTCTCTGCAGAAGAATCCAGAACCAGTATCCCTCATTCATTCAACATCTAATTACTGAGGTCTTTCTCTGAGACCATCCATGGGTTAGCTCAGAGATAGACTGTGAAGACCATTGCTTGTGGTCTTCCAAGGGGAAGTTCCTAAAATTTCAGGAGCTCAGCCGTACTGAAGTTCTATGGTGGATGAAATTAACAGGCCTTGGGATTATGGGGACCTGTGCTCCATTCTTGTTTGAATGCTGCTAACCCATCATTGCTCCTCTCAACCTCAGTTTCTTTCTCCGTGAAACAGCATGGCAATAGTAACTTTACGTAGAATTATGAGGATTCAGCAGGGTGACCATGTAAAGTGCTTCACATAGACCTTGATGCACAGTAAGCACTCAATGTGATGATGATAATCTGTAAAATGAAGAGAATAATGCTAATCATATATAGCTGTTATAAAGATTAAATGAAATAAGGCTTGTTACATAGCTGGTACCTAGAAAGTGCTCATCGAATAGTTTTAAGGGCTATTTCTTTATGTTAGAAGTTTCAGACAGGTGTGTTGGCTCATGCCTGTCATCCCAGCACTTTGGGAGGTCAAGGCAGGAGGACAACTTGAACCCAGGAGTTCAAGACCAGTTTGGGCAACATAGTGAGATCCCATCTCTACCAAAAATATTACTTGTGTATGATGGTGCATACCTGTAGTCCCAGGCTAAGGTGGGAGGATCACTTGAGCCCAGGAGGTCAAGATTGTAGTGATCTATGATCGCACCACTGCACTCCAGCCTGGGCAAGAGGCAGAAAGACTCTGAAGTCTAAGGAGATGAATTTCTGAATAAATAGTAGTTTTGACCTTTAAAGACAGGCTCTTCTTCTTCTTCTTCTTCTTTTTTGAGACAGAGTTTCACTCTGTTGCCCAGACTGCTGGAGTGCAGTGGCAAAATCTCAGCTCACTGCAACCTCACCTCCCAGGTTCAAGCGATTGTCCTGCCTCAGCCTCCCATGTAGCTGGGATTACAAGCACCCACCACCATGCCTGGCTAACTTTTTTGTATTTTTAGTAGAGACGGGGTTTCACCATGTTGGCCAGGCTGGTCTTGATCAGGCTGATCTAAAACTCCTGACCTCAAGTGATCTGCCCACCTCAGCCTCCCAAACTCTTGGGATTATAGGCATGAGTCACAGTGCCCAGCCAACAGGCTCTTCTTGAAGCATCTCCAGCAAATGTGCAAAGGAAAGAAATAATTATTTCTGCTATTTGAGAATATGAAGTGTCTATCATTGCTTATTAAATTATAAGAGAATAGCAAAATTGAGACAGCAAGAGAGAGGGAGAAAAGCTCTTGGAAAAGTAGAAAGATAGGGCCAGTGACCCAAGGAGACTACAACAGTCATAGATCTCATGGTCAGAGGATAGGTGATAAATTTTCAGTTAACTATTTGTGTCAAGCTTTAAGTTTAAAGTATTCCCCCCAGTCCTGAGCTGTAATTATCCTCTGTTCACTCCAGAATTCATAAATGTCTTTTATACACACAATCTTGGATTGGTAGTGCTTGGGCAAGGAAACAGGAGAGACTTTGCTCATGCTTAAGGAAAAAGGGCTGGAGATGAACTCTGAGCACAAACTCAGAGCAAGAGGGAACAGGAGCTGCATCTTTACCCCTTGGGAACAACCATGGGGCAATGAGGTGAGTCATTTTAGTTGGGTATTAAAACAGAGGGTTACTGTCCCAGAAGGCTGAGGAATGCAAATAAACAAATTGAAATAAACCCTCAGGATGATTTGCTTATTAATTAGGTTTCCAGGAAGGTCTCTTGGGATCCAAACTACCTGAAAACAAAACAAAACAAAATAGAGCATACGCACGAGTATCTGGAGAGTTAAGAATGACATTTTTTTTTTTTCAGAAGGCAAGACTAATGGTGATTCAGCCACAGTAGAGAAACAAGCTTTGACAACTCAAAATAGTATGTACATCAGCCTTAAGCATGGTTTCTAAAATGCTTTTCCAGTCCCAGAGGGACCAATTTGGCACTCAGGGCACACATTTTCCATGTGCCACCTCAAGATTTGGCATCATAATCAATGAAGAGGAGCTTAATGGTGAGTTAAAATACTCCCTTTGGTATAAATTATCTGCCATTTAAAGCAGAAAGTCCTCCTCACTTTGTTAATTGGCTGTGTAAATACCCACCAGCCCTGTTCAGATTTGATCCACCCTAGAGTGAATGGATTAAGATTTAAGATGCAAGTGTCCTTGGTTTTCTTCCCCCCTAGTGATCTGGCTGGCCGATTTCTCCCTTCTATTTGGCATTGCAAGGAATTGCTGAATACATTATATGGCAAAATGGAAAGAAAGAACAGGGAAGAACATTGAAGGAAGAGAAGCCTGATTAATCCATAACCTTTAAGTAAGGAACAGGACAACGAGAGAAACAGGTGCAGCATTTAATTAAAGCATAGGGAAAGAAATAGAAAGTGGGAGAAATGAATGAAGATGTGATGATAATACAGAAATAGCCCCTGTTTAATGAGCACCTACTACGTGCTAATGCTGGGCTAACAGGTGTACCAAGTACAACAAGTAAAAGCAGGCTTGGTCCTTGTTCTCATGGAGCTTACCTTCTGCAGTCTACACTACTGGACTAGGTTTCTGAGGCAAAGGTCACGTCCACTGATAGACTGAGACGTCTGCAAACTCACCTCGTACCACTCTGTTCTCTATCTTTTCTCATCAGTCATTCTGGAATCTTCTCAGTTCTTCCAGCCTGCCAGGGTCTCCTGCTGCCCACATACTCTTTATTGCCTAAGAGCTCTTTTCCCCTTTGCTATGGTTTTTTTTTTTTTTTTTTTTTTGAGATGGGGTCTTGCTCTCTCACCTAGGCTGGAGTGCAGTGGTACAATCATGGTTCATTGCAGCCTTGACCTCCCAGGGCTCAGGTGATCCTCCCACCTTAGCCTCTCGAGTAGCTGGGATCACAGGTGTGCACCACTACGCCCAGCTAATTTTGTATTTTTTGTGGATATGGTGTTTTGCCATGTTGCTCAGGCTGGTCTCGGGCTCCTAGGCTCAAGTGATCCTCCCACCTCAGCCTCCAAAAGTGCTGAGATTATAAGTATGAGCCACTGTGCCCGGTAGTTTGGTTTGAATATTTGTCCCCTCCAAAACTCTTGTTAAAATTTAATCCCCAAGGTGTCAGTATTTTGGGGTGGGACATTTAAAAGGTGATTGGTTTATAAGGGCTGTACCCTCATAAATGGATTAATCCATTCATAATGAATGCATTAATGTATTAGTGGATTAATTAGTTATCCTGAGATTAGGACTAGTGGCTTTATAAGCGAAGGAAAAGATACCTTAGCTAGCACACTCAGTTCCTCACCATGTGATGCCCTGCACTGCCTCAAGACGCTGCAGAGAGTCTCCACCAGCAAGAAGACCCTCACCAGATACAGCCCCTGCACCTAGGACTTCTCAGGCTTTATAATTGTGAGAAATAAGTTCCTTTTCTTTATAAATTACCCAGTTTCAGGCGTTCTGTTATAAGCAACGTAAACCAGATTAAAACACCTGTCTTACCTGGCAATCTCCTTTTCAATTCAGCAAAGACTTGGTCTTCTTTTGGGAAATTCCCTCACCCCAGGCTAGCTTAGAGCTTCCTGTTACATGTCCTCACAGTTCCCTGTATGGCTTAATTAATACCTTGTAACCACTGGCTGCAGGCCTGTCTTTCCCACTACTCTGTGATTTGTGAAGTTGCAGACTGGTTTGTTCACCAGTATCTAGCACAGGGCCTGGCACGTGAAAGGTGCTTGTTAAACATTGGGGAGGTTAAAGTTCTGTTCCTTACAGCCTAGAAGTTATGGGTCTTAATTTAATTGAATTTTTAACCTTGGATTAAATTTTTAACCTTTCTTTTCCCTTGTTTCTGTGACACCTTGGTATTTCTTTATTAGTATATTTCATTTTTACACACAACATCAAGGCAAAACAACGGAGAAATGTGGCTGAAGAAGTAAGCGATATATTTTTTTTCTGACTTAATCAGCAGGTCCTGGGAGAATGAAACATTTTCTTTGAGGGAAAGACCGGAGCACTGGTAAAGATGTTGCTGTAAATCTCACTTGGACAGGGCACGCCAGTTTAAACTCTGCAGTGTTAATCTATGATTACGGCTTTTCTCATTTCTCGCATTTGAAAAGGAAACAGACATTTTCATTGTGACTTTAGATTACTATGTTCTATGAAGGCTTTAAACCCAGGACATTGAAAAGGAGAAAATTTCTACACTAGAAAATGTAGGCAAGGAAACCTGCTTTTATGATGTTAAACTTTCTGTGGTGTGATGTCAGGGTGGGCAGATGCGTTTCTGTGTAAAGTTGCACCCCCTTGAGTGCCAGACAGCACCCATATTTATTAGTCTGAGGAAAATTTACCAGTGCTATAGCGTCTACTATAGAGAGCCAACTAAATAAAGTATGATCTTTACAGTGGCCTTTCAGAAACTCTAAGTGCCTGCAAGTGGCCTATAAAGGGTGAATGATTAACACAGCCCCTGAGTGAAAATCATAGATGCTCTGTAGCTGATTTCACTAAATCAAGCAGTGACTAAAATAGATGACCCAGTGAGAATCTTGTGTGGCACAGGAAGAAGTACAAGAACATTTAGAGACCCTTAGACCAGGATTCCAGACCTAACTCTACGGCTTACAAAGGAAGGGGCCTTGGGAGGATCGGTCATCCCCATGAGCTTCCCTTCCCTTCCTGTAAAATGGGTTTACTAGTCCATAGGCACCAGAGGGCTTTGTAGAACCCCCCAGCCCAGGCTTTGTGGTGGCAGCCGCTTTCTCCCTTTGTTCTCTCTGCCCAGTTGTTGAGGGCCCAGTTTCCAGGCCTGCGCGGCACAGCTGTCCAAGTGGGGCCCTCTAGTTGAGGCTAATTATAAAGAAGGCTGGCAGGGTGAGATAACTGTTCTCTTCCACTTTAGAGGTTTGGTTTATTAGAAACAGAGCCCTGAGGGGATTTCTAGGGCTATTAGGAAGTTCAAATAATGTCTTGGGTACAATGCAGTGATTTCTGCGGGTCAATTTTCCCTCCAACTAAAAGCACTTAAGAGAGCAGGGGGGCAGGGGTGAAGGAGGCTACCATGAGAAAAACATTGAAAAGAAAGGGGAAAAAGAGCTGTGCACCAGACTGACCAGCTCCATATTGCTGAGTTCTCAAAAAAAAAAAGAGAGAGAGAGCGAGAGCCAGATCCCCAGCTACTTTGCCCATGACCTCTGGGCAGGCAGCTCAGAGGGGAGGCGCGTCTTTGCAGCCCAGAGTCTGTGTGTCCGCGCGGGGCTCCCAGTCCCCGGGACATGGGACTGGGGTCCTGGGATCGCGGAACTGGCGGCGCCCTCTACGAGCTACGCTTTGAGGGTGGGTGGCCCCACGGAGCTCCCGCCGCCTCAGTGGCCCCTCGCGTCCCAGGCCCGCCGCTAATTGACCTGCTGTTTTTTTCATTTCCTGGTTGATGGCTTTTCTTCCCGCTTCATCTGGGACCGCGGCAGGAGAGTCCCGCCCCTCCCCGAGGGCATCGCCCGACTGTCTCTCTGTCACCCTTGCCAGCCAGCAGAGCCCGGTGCGTTCAGATGCGTGGGGGAGCGGCCACGGGCCAGGCCGCCGCCTGCTCGAGCTTACCGGAGGTCGGAGGAGACCTGACGCACTGGGGCCCCTGGGATGCAGCATGGAGCCTTCCTGTGGGTGTCCCCACCGCTACCCCCACATCGGGGGCTTCCGCCAGGGGTCTCCGCCAGCCTCAAACTATTCTTGCCTTCTGGGACAGAACGCATTCTTTCCAAGTACAGACAGCGTGCCAGGCTCAGGGCTGCTGAGCTCTCTGTGCCGGCCTTGGACGTGTTGACTTGAAGGCGTCTCATGGAGTCCTCCCCACAAACCTCTTAGAGGCGAGGCCATCACCCTTTGGGGCCAGAGTGAAGAGGCTGAGGTTCAGGGGATCAAGAGTAGCCCCAGCGCACACCTAGTGTGATGGTGGTGCTTGTGGCTTCCCCAGCGATCATCCCTTGGGTCTTTCCCTGGGGACTTTGCTTCCCTTACTCCAAGCCAAGCAGTTTGGATGGGAGGACCTCATTCTGACGGTGGTTGCATGGTGATTGCATGGGATGAGCAGAGCTCCTCTAACCTGCCCTACTCAGCTGAGGGCTACTGGAGGCTTTACATGGTTCTCTCCCTGAGAGGAAGGTGGGACAGCCGTCCGTTGGCCTGTCTTTCAGCGTAAGAGTAATTGCCAGTTGCCTTGCCAGGCTAGCTGCCTGGGGAGCTTGACTAGGTTGTTCCCTGTGGGGTCAGTCTAGGAACAACTAAGTAAGCATGGCTCACACCTGCCCTGCCCCAGAGTACTTTTGCTCCTGCGAAGGCTTACAGGACAAAGGGCTGGCCCTGGAGCACAGAGTGCTCCTTTGGCATCGTAGGAAGAGGGGCTGTGGGGGTGAGTGGAGAGCTCTCCATGAAAACACGTGCCTTCCTGTAGTCTGGTTATCACGTGTAGATAGGTAAACATTCTTTGTCCATACCCATACATTTAGGGGTAGACTTACCACCATTTCCTTATCCTTCCCTCCCAGCAATGAAATCTAGTAGGCCTATTGTGCTGGTGGTGGGGGTACAATCTTAAGGTGGAAGAGACAAAGAGGTGGCACTTCCATTGCATATTTATCATGGCCATGTCCAGTGGCCTCCCTCCGCACAAGCTCCTGGACTCCATGAGCTCCGTGGTGCCCAACTGCTTAGACAGTTGACTGGATTGGCATATTGTCAACCTAAATAACAAACAGAGAGACTCTCTGAGAGCCCCTCTATTCCCAAAGTTATTTTGAATAAATATCACTTTCTTTTAGAGAGCCTCCCTCTGTTATTTAGGTTGACAGTTCATGTGTTCATTCACTCAACCTAAAGATTTTCAGGCGCTGGGCCAGGCATTGGTTTTCCAACTCCTAACACTAATTTTCCTCAAGTATTCAGAACAGATTTTTATATTATGTGGGGAATATTTAAGGATTTAGAAATTCAGATTAGTACTACTGCTACTTTTTAAACTTATAAATTCCCACTCTCTTGAGGGAAATCACAGCAATTAATTTTCATTTCATGTATCTAGAAAATTCTCTTCCTGTTTTAAAACAAAAATGTTTTTCTGATTCAGTCAGAATCACAGCTATTTACTGAAAAAGTAAGTAGCAGCTACATACATAACAACTGAATAAATAAGGAGAGAAATCTCTTTAAATAGGATGATGTAGGTTGATTCACCTAACCAAATTATGGTTATTTCATTAACTCTCCAATCGAAATTCCAAAGCCTCATTCTATTTGCTGAGGTAAATTTGTTTAACATGAAGCTCTGACACCCTTTATAATAATTACACTTCTAAATGAAAGTTTAATTTTTAATCATTTGCTTTGCTAAAATAGAACAAATGAGAGGATAATATGACAATTTAAAGGATTTGCAGTAGATCCCCTAGAGCTGGAGGAGACATGAATTTTTTCTGAGTACTGCTGACTAGTGGAGGAATTTTAAGTATGATAATAGAACTGCTTACTCACAATGTTTGCTTCTTTGATGAAAATAAAACCAGAGGGAATTAGAAGCCAACAGAGGTGAGGCAGGTCAGTGCTACCTGATCAATCACAGACCTTAATGGGGACTGTGATCTTTTCTCCACCATAACAGGTCCTCTAGTGGATTTCTGGACTTGAGATTCAGGGCACTGCAATGCATTATAAAAATGAGCCAATTCTCCGTGAAACAGAATTAAAACAATTTTCCTCTTAGAGGAGGTAGATGCTATTGTGTATTTGCAAATAATGAAATCCACACAATAGGAGGGACAGCTTAGTTCATCTCGTCCTTTGGCTAAAAGCTGTGATTTTTGTTTTGTTTGCTTTTTAAGTCACTTTCCAGCAGTTGAGTATGATATCTGCCCAGTTCAGGTTCAGAATGTGAATTCTTTTCAGAGCTATTTTTAATCAGAATTACCAAATAATGAGTGAAAAACAAAGCCCTTTTAAATTAATAACTCTCTAGATAATAGGATTGATTAAGGAGTCTTTAATCTCTCTTCATTGTGACACACTCTTACAAATAGCCACTTTTTTCTCTTTCTAGGAATTGTGAATTGGTGCAATTCTCTTACCTTTTCACATTCCTCAATGCTTCAGGCAGCAGATGATACAATTTTCAATATCACATGTGCTTATTTACTTAAGATAAAATGAAAACAGCATAGAAGGGAAATGTACTTGTGATTCCCTTTTGTAGGACTGCTTTGAGCCTGAGCTCAGAGGTTGAGGGCTCATTTTACAGTGGCCTTGACTTGTAATCTATATTTTGTTTGATTAACTGTCCCTGGTCCTTTTAAAACTGGTGAGAGTGCAGTGACATTCACAGTAGTCAGAATCTTTAGGAGTTCACATATGACTTTTCTAAAGCTTACTACCATTATTGTTTATTGCACAGACAACTGTAAGGCACTATTAATATAAATCAAAGTGAAAGAAAAAGTTTATCCACAGTCTTAATCAAATTGTTTTCATTTTGCAAGTTTTCTCCCAAATCTTTTTTATGAACAGGAGAATTTTTTACACAGTTGTAATGGTAAGATAGGTAAGATTTTGTATTTCACTTTTAAATGTAAGGTACCATACACATTTTCAGTATTACATTATATTCTTCACAATTAAAATGCTTATATCTGTGTAATATTAAATAGTGAGACTGTAATTTAACCATTTTTTCATTTATGAACATTTAGATTAAAAATCATAGTATATAAATGTTGCTGTGAAGTGTATTTTTATTGTATAATTAAAAAAAATCTTTTGGGTTATCTCCTTGGTATAAAGTCCTCAAAGTGAGGTCAGGTATAAAGTCCTCAGAGTGAGATCAAAGGGTATGAATATTTTGATTCTTTTTAGTATATGACAAAATGGTATTCTTAATGAGTTGTACTCATTTACACTTAATTTTTGACAATATCCGTTTTATCTGTTAGCATTGGGAATTCTCATTTGAATTTTTTTCTACTTGAACAGTTAGAAAGTGGGTATATTTTGACATCATTATACTGTTGTCAGTAGACCAAGGAATGTTGTCTCTCGCTCTCTTGGGAAAGAATGTGACGGCACTTCTTTAGATCCTTAACTCATCATTTCATAAACTAATAATTAGGTTACAACCCAAGGAAATATTATATAGAAATCTTAGCATGATTTAATTTCTATTTTCTCATCTTCTCACTTTCTTTTTTCTGCTTCTAGTTGGGATGTTAGAAGCAGAAGGGGTCCCAGCTGGGATGAAAGGGGGATATGGTGTTACTGTTCTGCAGATCATTCACCCAGTGCCTTGTCATTCCCTGTGTCTTTGCTTATGCTCTCCATTTAGCTTGGAAAACCCTTTCCTTTTGTCCCCACTTTAATGACTGTGGTAGGCAGAATTCTAAAATCAAGATTCCCAGCTCTACTCCCCAGAACTCATTGTTTGATAAGCTATCACTCCCATGATTATGTTTTGTTATATGGCATAGTTGACTCTAAGATAGGATTATCTGGGTGTACTTGACCTCACCACAGGAGTTCTTTTAAAAGCCCAGAGTTTTCTTTTCTGATCGCAGAGGGAAAGTCACAGATTTGAAGCTCTTGGAGGGATTTGGCATGCCACTGCTGGCTCAGAGATGGAGGTGGCCACGTGCCAAGGAATGTGGGCAGCCTTCAGGAGCTGTGAGTAGCCCCAGCTAATAGCCAGCAAGGAAATGGCGACTTCGACCTGTTGCTGCAGTCAGCCAGCAACCTGAATGAGCGTGGAAACAGATTCTTCCCTGGAGCTTTCAGGTAAGGGCTGAGCTGGCCAACATCTTGTCTTAGGCCTTTTGAGACCTTACACAGAGAACCCAGCTGAGCCCACTTGGACTTCTGACCCACACAACTGTGAAGTAAACGAGGATGTTGTTTTAAGCTGCTAAATTGGTGGCAATTTGTTAGTGCAACAACAGAAAACAGATACAATGATATAGAAAGAAATTTGTCTTATATAATAAACATTAATTTTAGCCAACCTGCTGGACTTGAGAGAGAGTTCACAGGTAACAACTGCTGACCGAAGCCCAGGGCAGCCTGAATGATATGGTTGCCAGGGACTCATATTCCTGTCCTCTCTGCTTTGGTGGGCTGAGTGGTATGCTTCCAAACTTGCTGGTGCTAATTCTATTGCTTATCATAATTATCCATTTATTTATATGCATTTTGGTACTATGTCAACAGGGGACGTAAGACAGTGAACATAAAGAGAGCTGATCTTTCTACCACAGGCTGAACACTTTGGAAACACTGGATGTATCACTGAAAAATGCTATGGAATTAGGTGGGTGAGGCAACTAAAGAGCAGAGAATTGTAAAGATTTAGAATGTTTCTGGAGTCACATTACTCTGCCAGCCTGTCTCAGTTCTTCCTCTGTGTTAAAGACTTCAAAACTAGACTTTACACATGGTGCATGGGGAAGATGGCTTACTGAAGACTGCAGCCCTCAGCAGTGCTGTGCCCAGAGAAAAGGTGCTGGTCTGAAAGCAGAAGAGTGGTGAATGAAGGCACAGGACTTTGCTTTAAATTAAAATAAGATATTTCAGGGGTTGGTTTTTATCCTATTTGAGGATTCCTTGCATTGACTGCTTTTTTTTAATTGATCTAATGCATCCAATTCTATCAGATAAGAGTGCTTCTGTTACAGTATTAGATATGTGCATGCACTCGCACACACACATGCATGCTAGGGTAAGCAGGCTACAAGTCTAACCATGAAATATGAATAATTTTTGTAACAAGTGCATATTGCTAGAATAACATTGAGAATATCAGTAGTTATATTTGAGTAGGAAGCTTATGTATATTTTCTATAATGCATATATATTGTTTTTGAAATAAGGCAACAAAGGAAAATCCTCATCATCATCATCATCATAAAAAAATAACTGCTAGCTATCCTTCAAGGTCAGGGTCCAAAAATTTCCTCCCTGAAGTTTTTCTCAATTCACATGAAGTTTCATAAATCACTTATTTCTTTATGCTCCCATAGCTCCTTATTTGTACTTAATTAGTTCTGATATGTAGCATGGCCAATTGTGTCTTTCCCTTTCATTTGAGAGCAAGGACCATGACTTATAAATATTCATATTTCATCACACCAAGCACAGTTCCCACCATTTAGGAGATAATTGTCCAAAGAGTGAATGAATGAATTGTGCTCTGGTGTAGTGCAGTCACAAATGTATCAGGGAGGTGTGTGTGTGTGTGTTTTTATTAAGGCTCTTTCTCAGTGTCCTTTGATAAGCAGTTTAAAAAAATCATACTTTGGTCTATGTGATCCAGATCATGTGTTTTTGCATCTTATATAATCTGAAAGCAAAGGCCATACATCTAGCCCTCAAGCAGAGCCTTTCTGGGCAAAATGAGAACAGCTTTCTGAAAAACAAACTCAGCACCGGGTGTGCAGACACCACTCAGATGTTGGTCAGGCCCTAGAAGAATCTGCATAGCAGAGTTCCCTTGGCACTTCCCTCCTGTTCTGCATCTGGACTACCTGTGAGCAAGCCTTCTCATTGTGTAGGGTAGCATTTGTGAAGTGTTTGCAAGTATTTCATCTCATGCAAGCAGACTGGGCTATGTCCTGATTTTGTTAGCGTGATTGCTGAAAATGGAGTGGTCTATTAAAAAGTAATGGTCACCGTCTGACGGATTTGCTTCTTGCAACATTAGTGTCATGGTGATGGATTAGGAGAATCTCCAAAGTGGAAAGGCATGTTTCCACAAATATTTTGTATAAACATAAATTCACTTGCAAACATGACTCATTTCCCATTTATTTTTTAATGTATTATCCATAATATTTGCCATGCATCTTTTAGCACACATGTGGCCCTCTCTGGAGGGCTCTGGTAAGTGATTGTAGCAGGGCCAGAGGAAGATTGGTGTCCTGTGCCCATGTTTTCAAAGTTTTCCCTCTGTTTCTGAGCTGCTTGCAGGAGGGGAGGAGAAGTTAAGAACCACAAGGGAGGACCAAGCAACCTCTCTGGGCTAGGAAAGCTCTGAGAGGAATCTCTTTTTACTAGAAAGGGGAATCTGTTTAGTGATTTGAAAAATCCCTGCCTTCATTTCGTCTTCCACTGAAAATTAAATGATTGCTTTTTATGCTGCCTTTCGACATCTAGAAGAGCGAAATAAAGAAATGCGTAATTTCTCCCACTAAGGCTGGATTCAACAGCCTATATAGCTGAACTGTGATATGTTTCCAGGGATTGGGACTGAAAAAACTCTTTCCATTAAGGTCATTCCATTAAGGATTTTAGAAAAATGCATCTAGTTGAAGACAAAACTTTCCTGGACAAGAGAGATAATATATTAGGAAGCTTGAGCAATAGGCCAACAAACTCAACGGACTCAGAGACCTGAGAGACTGGGATATGATTGGGGAAGGAACAGAGCTAGTAAAAAGCATTAGGGACCCAGGCATTCTAATAGACAGGGGACACACACACTCATGGCCCCTTTTCTATATTTCTGACTTCACTTAGCTCTGGCTCTATAGATGCCCATTTATCTATTGGCTTTGCTGTCCAGGATTCATTCCCCTTTCTGCTGGTAGTTGCTTTTGATTTTCCTTGGAGAAGGCTTTGTTCATGACTCTTAGATTTAGGTTTGGAGGAAGTTGACTTTGCCTCTGACCTGAGGAGTGGGTATGGGCCCAAACCTGTCAAGGAAAGCCTCAGCCTTTCTAGACCTCACTGACCAGTATAGAAATGGGTCAACAGCTGACCCAGCTGGCGGATGCTCAATTCTTGCATGTTGGATGATTTCAGAAATTTTCCTTATATACATGAAGGATTTTTTTTGGTTCTAGCTTATAAAAATCTCCCTAGCAACATTTCTTCCATTAGGCTTAATATTTGTCTCTTTTATTATTGTTGTTCAATGTCAGAGAATTTGCAATGCAGTTGAATTAACATACACACAATATTGTAGCAGCCTGGGGGGTTAAAGATAGTTAACCAGCTGGGAGAATAATTCATTGTCTAGCATAATACTCAGAGAAATGTGAAGGTGGGTGCTTTTGGTTGAGCATTCTAAGATAAGTGAATCTTCTAAGAAATGAGACTTGCAAACTGGAGTCCAGTGGATTGCTTCAACCAGATCTGGTTAGCAGTAAATGTCATTAGCTTAAAACGTTTTCTCTTACCTCTGTTGTCTGTGATAAGATGAGCCTTCTAAAAGGGGAAGTGCAGTTCTTTCACATTTTAACTCCTCCTGGGGGTGTTAAAGCTAGCTGAAGTCAGGCTTCCTGCAAGCTACATTAAGCATGTGTCCCTCCAGGGCAGAAGGGAAATTGTGATGTCTCTTGAGGGTTGAGAGGCTCCAAAGGCAAGGCAGCTTTCTAAAATTATGGCCTTTTCTCTTTTCTTTTCTTTTCTTTCTTTCAATGGGGTTTCCCTCTGTCACCCAGGCTGTAGTACAGTGGTATAATCATAGCTCACTGCAGCCAAACTCCCGAGTTTAAGTGATTCTCTCATCTTAGCCTCCAGAGGAACTGGGATTACAGGCAGGAGCTACGGCACCCAGCTCTTAAAATATGCTAGTTTTATGGAATTTTTCTAATATTCCTATTTGCCCCACCCTCCCACACTATAGTATTGATGTTCAAGATGAAGATTTGCAAGATTTTGATGTTAAAAAATGAGTCTGATTTTCTCTTTTGAGACAATTGTTTTTACAATGAGTTCTTTGGTGGTGGTGTCAAATTATTCTTTACGTTTCCAGGAAACAACCAAGTACAAGTTGATAACATTAAAAAAGAAATGAAGAAGAAGAAAGAAAGAAGTAGTGGTAATGATGGAAACTATTTTAGATTTTTAAAAGACTAGATTTTAGAAATGAAATGATCAGTCAGACTTTATATGAATCCTAGGTCAAACAAATAACTGTAAAATACATTTTGGGGATATATGGGGGAAATTTGAATATGGTCTACAAATTAGATGATACTAAGAAATTATTGTTAATTTTGTTAAGTGTAAAAAATGGTTTTGTGGTTATAAGATGTCCTTATATTTTAGAAATCCTTACTAAAGTATTTAGGATGAAATGAAATTAGGACCTTTTCTCTTTTCTTTTCTTTTCTTTCCTTTCTTTCAATGGGGTTTCCCTCTGTCACCCAGGCTAGAGTGCAGTGGTATAATCATAGCTCACTGCAGCCAAACTCCCGAGATTATAATCTGTGTGTTTTTTAAAAGACTAAGAAAATATTGCAAAATGTAAGTCTACGTGATGGTTATACAGAGTTAAATAGACAATCCTCTATTTTTATACACATTTAAAGATTTTATAATACAAAGACTTTTTGAAAAGGACATATAAATTGCCAGTGGATTCCTTTACTACTTTTGTTTTTCTTTTTTATTTTTTTAGAGGCAGAGCTTTGCTATGTTGTCCAGGCTGAACTTGAACTTGTCCTGGGCTCAAGCAATCCTCCTGCCTTAGCCACTGAAGTGACTGGGATTATAGGCGTGCACCACCTCCCCAGCTTCTACATCTATTTTAAGGAACCAATGTGGGCACCATCTCTGATGAAAACTGTGGAATAAAACTCCAAATATAAATTAGATAGATTTAAATGAACTTTAAAAAATATTATCTGCTACTAAAATACAAAATTATGCAGCATTTATAAGTAAAAAGTTCATGAAGCTTCTTATTTCATTTATCCCCACCTATGTTCTGTGGGTGGGCATAAAAGAATAATAAAAGCATTGCCTATTGAAGGAATAAAATTTTGACTCATAAATTGAACTTCATGAAAATTATTAAAAGTACTTCTAGATGTAATAGGTTCCCCAGAAATAGTTCTTATTTGCATGATAGCGTTTCCAATAAATGAGAAGAAGGTAATATGTCCATTGTAAAAAAAAAAAAAATACAGGTAATCCAACCAGGCATGGTGGCTCACACCTATAATCCCAGCACTTTGGGAGGCTGAGGCAGGAGGGTCACAAGGTCAAGAGATCCATACCATTTTGGCCAACATGGTGAAACCCTGTCTCTACTAAAAATACTAAAATTAGCTGGGCATGGTGGCATGCACCTATAGTCCCAGCTACTCGAGAGGCTGAGGCAGGAGAATCTCTTGAACCCGGGAGGGAGAAGTTGCAGTGAGCTGAGATTGCATCACTGCTCGCCAGCCTGTTGACAGAGGGAGACTCATCTCAACAAACAAACAAACAAACAAAACAAACAAACAAACATAATCCATTAGAAGAAAAAACTTCCATAATTCCAGCCCATTATTAATATGTTTGTATAGTTCTATCAAGTACTTTCTTTGAGCATAGGTATGTATCTGTCTTTTTTCCTCCTTTCTCCCTTCTTCCTCTGTTCCCTTTTTTCACACCACCATTAAATGTGAAAACAAACCAGAAATAGAAAACAGTGACTACACCTAAAAGTGAAATCCACTTGTGATGAAAGCACTGCACTCCCAGAGTAAAGCAGTCTTTACTTTGGTAATTTATGTTTTCTTTTAACAGTCCTATGACTTTCATTTTTATTATTTTTATTTATGATTAACACATAATAAATGTACATATTTGTGGGGTAAAATGTGATGTTTGGATACATATATAATTGTATAATGATCACAGTTTAATTAACATATCCATTGTCAGGGAGGTTTTCAATACCCATTTTTAGACTGCATTCTAGCCTGGGCAATTAAATAACACTCCCGTTCTCTCTCCCCCTCTCCTCTTCCTCTTTTTTCCTCTTCTTCATTCCTTTTTCTTTCTTTCTAAAAAAAAAATCCATTGTCTTAAACATGTGTTATTTCTTTGTGATGAGAAATTAAAAAACCTCTCTTCTAGCTATTTTGAAATACACAATGCAATGTTGTTAACTCTAGTGATCTTTCCATGCAACAGGACACTGCAACTTATTCCTCCAGTGTAACTAGAGCTTTGTACCCACTGACCAATCTCTCACCTTTCCCCACTTCTCCCCATCCTTCCCATCCTCTGCTAACCACTATTCTGCCTTCTTCTTCTGTAAGAACAAGTTTTTAGACTCTGCGTTTAAGTGAGACCTTGTGGGGCTTGTTTTCCATGCCTAGCTTATTTAGTTTAAACATGTTTTCCAGGTTCGTCTATGTTGCCACAAATGACAGAATTTCATTTTGTTATTATAACTGAATAGTATTTCATTGTGTGTGTGTGTGTGTGTAAACTATAATATGTATAAATGTACTATAGTTTCTTTACCTATTCTTCTGTTGATGAACATTTCAGTAGATTCCGTATCTCAACCACTATGAATAGTGCTGCAATGAACAAAGGAGTATCTCTTCAACATACTGATTTCATTACCTTTGGATGTATATCCCCTAGTGGGATTGCTGGATCATATGGTAGTTCTATTTTTAATTTTTTTTTCTTAGAGATATAGTCTTACTCTATCGCCCAGTCTGGAGTGCAGCGGCTATTCACAGTCACTATCATAGTACACTACAGCTTTGAACTCCTAGGTTCAAGCTATCCTCCTGCCTCAGCCACCTGAGTAGCTAGAATTACAGGCCCATGCCACTGTGCCCTGCTGTCATTTTTAATTTTTTGAGGAACCTCCATATTGCTTTCCACACTGGATCCTACTGGCAGTGTATAAGGGGTCCCTTTTCTCCAGATCCTTGCTTTTGATTTTTTTGATAGTAGCCATTCTGATTGGAGTAAGGTGATGTCTCATTATAGTTTAGATTTGCAGTTCCCTGTTGACTAGTGATGCTGAGCAATTTTTCATATACCTGTTGGTCATCTGTATGTCTTTCTTTGAGAAATGTCTATTCAGGTCTTGTACCCATTTTTAAATTGGTTTATCTGTTCTTTTGTTGAGTTTTTTGAGTTTCTTATATATTTTGAATATGATCTCATTATCAGATGTGCAGTTTAGAAATATATTCTCCCATTCTATAGATTGTCTTTTTGCTCTGTTGATTGTTTTCTTTGCTGTGCAGAAGCTTTTTAGTTGGAGGTAAATCCCATTTGTCTATATTTGCTTTTGTTGCCTGTGTTTTTGATGTTTTGCTCAAAGAATCCTGGCCTGCACAAATGTCATGGAGCTTTTCCCCTACGTTTTCTTCCAGTAGTTTCACAGTGTTGGGTCTTACACTTAAGTGTTTAATCCATTTTGAGTTAATTTTTGCATATGGTGAGAGATAAGAGTCTAGTGTTATTCTTCTACCTATTTAGTTTTCCCAGCACCATTTATTAAAGAGGTTGTCCTTTCCCCATTGTGTGTACTTGATACCATTGTTGAAAATTGATTGGTTGTAGATGCATGGGTTTATTTCTGGACTTTCTCTTCTGGTTCATTGGTCTATGTATCTGTTTTTATGCCAGTACCATGTTGTTTTGGTTACTATAGCTTTGTGGTATGTTTTAAAGTCAGATACTGTTGTGCCTCCAGGTTTGTTCTTTTTGCTCAAGATTGCTTTGACTATTTTGAGGTCTTCTGTGGCTCCATATGAATTTTAGGACTTTTTTTTTTTTCTATAACTATGAAGAATGTCATAGGTATTTCAATAGGGATTGTATTTGACAGGGATTGCTTTGGATAGTATGGAAACTTTAACCATATTAATTCTTCCCATCTATGAACATAAGATAATTTTCACTTTCTTGTGTCTTCAATTTTTGTCATTAATATTTTCTAGTTTTCATTGTAGAGCTCTTTCACCTCCTTGGTTAAATTTGTTCCTAGGTATTTAATTTTTTTAATAGCTGTTGTAAAAGGTATTACTTTCTTGATTTTCAGATAATTTGTTATTGGTGTATAGAAATGCTACTGATTTTTTAATATTGATTTTGCATCCTGTAACTTTACTGAATTTGTTTATTGGTTTAGTGTTTTTTTTTTTGTGTGTGTGTGTGTAATCTTTAGGGTTTTCTATATGTGAGATTATGTCATCCACAAAAAGGAATGACTTGACTTCCTCTTTTCTAATTTGGATGTCCTTCATTTATTTCTCTTGCCTGATTGCTCTGGCTAGGACTTTCAGTACTACATCGAGTGAGACCAATGAAAGCAGGCATCCTTGTCTTGTTCCACATCTTAGAAAGAAAGCTGATACCATTCAGTATGATGTTAGTTGTGCATTTGTTATCTATGACCTTTATTATGTTGAAGTACATTTCTTCCTAATTTGTTGAAAATTTTTATCATGAAGGGATGTTGAATTTATATCATTTTAAAGATATATTTTTATGAATTCTTATATATGAGGGTCATTAGCCCTTTAAGAGATGAGTTGCAAATATTTTCCCCAGTCTGCCAGTTATCATTTTTAAGTGTTTCATAACTTTATTATTGCAGTTGGTCACATTTATGAAGACTTCATATAATTACAGATAGTTATAATAAGACAATTATCACAATGCAAAGGAATCTACCAGCATGTATTGAAAATGATATTATTATTGCTGGGCACAAATATATAGAGATAAATCTAATCATAATTTTTAAAAATCAAGGCATAATTTTCACATAATAAAATGCACATATCTAAAGTATTCAGTTTTGGTTGGCAGGAGTATTCATCTGTGCAAAAACCACCTAACACAAAATTTGGAGCATTTGTATAATCCCAGAAAGTGTCCTTTCTAGTCAATTACCCAATGACTCCCAACTGGGCAAGCATTTTCTAATTTGCCATGATTTTATTTTTGGACTTCACATATTTTAGAATCATCATAGTATATACTGTTTTGTACCCAGCTTCTTTCATTCAAGCGTAATGTTTTTGAGATTTATTCTTGTTGTTTGTTGCATTTGTTCATGTGTTAACAGTTCATTTTTAGTGCTTAATAGTATTTCATTGCATGAATATACCACTATTTGTTTATTCAAAGACTTGTCGAATTTGTTTATCCAAAGACAGTATATACTTAGAAATTTCTGGATTATAAGGTAGGTATTTGAGTATAAGAAATTGCTCTAGTGTTCCTCAAGATGGTTGTACTCTTTTACACTCCCATTGGTGGTACATGAGAGTTCTAGTTGCTCTATATCCTCACAACACTTAATATTGTCCAGCTTTTTAATTTTAACTATTCTAGGGGTATGTAGTGATAACTCATTGTGAATTTAAATCCATATTTTCCTCTTAAGTAATGATGATGAGCATCATTTCATGCACGTTTTTTGGCCATAGATCTTCATTTAAGTGTTTGTTCAAATATTTTGTCTATTTATAAATTGTGTATTTTCTTACTATTGAGTTGTAGGAGTTCTTTATATATTCTAGATACAAGTCTTTTATTAAATATTGTTTTATTTTTATTTTCTTAAAGTGTTTTTCAAAGAACAGATATGTTTAATTTTGATGAAGTCCAAATTATCAGTACCTTCTTTTCTGGTTAGTTTTTATTGTATCTAATCTGAGAAATCTTTGCCTATACTAGGGTAATGAAGATATTTCTCTTATGTTTTCTTCTAGAAGTTTTATAGTTTTAGCTTTTAAGCTAATATCTATAATCCATTTCATTTACTTTTTGTGGATAGTGTCATGCAAGGATTGAGGTTTGTCTTTTTCTTAAAAAAATACAGATACACAATTGTACAAAGACTATTCCTTCTCCATTGAATTACCTTGGATTCTTTGTTCAAAATCAATTAACCATGTAAGTATGGGTCTATTTCTGGGGTCTTTATTCATTTTATTTATCTTCATATCTATGCCTAAATGAATACATTGTCTTGATTATTGTAGCTTTATAATATGTTTTAGAATTGACTGATGTAAGTCTTCCAACTTTGTTCTTTTTCAAAATAAATTTGTCTACTCTAGGTTTTTGTATTTCCCTATGCATTTTAGAATCATGTCAACTTGCATAAAAATTTCTTCTGGGATTTTGCTTGTGCCTATGGTGAATTAAATTGTTTAGTTTTGGGAAAATGGACATCTTAACAATATTGATGATATACCTCTATTTATTAGGTTTTATTTAATTTCTCTCAAGAAACTTTTTTTTTTCAGTATAGAAGTTTTGTACATCTTAGATTTATTCCTACCCATTTGCTGTCTGTTGTTAATATTATGCTATTTTTAAATTTCACTTTTTAGTATGATTTGGATTTGTTGTATGTTTGCCCAAATCTCATGTCGAATTGTAATCCGCAGTGTTGGAGGAGGAGTTGAGTCAGAGGTGACTGGATCACGAGGGTGGATTTCCCCCTTGCTGTTCTCATGATAGTGAGTGAATTCTCATCAGATCTGGTTGTTTAAAAGTGTGTGGCGCCTGCCCTTTTGTTCTCCACCTTCTCTGGCCATGTAAGACACACCTGCTTTCCCTTCACCCTCTGCCATGATTGTAAGTTTCTTGCCTTCCCAACCATGCTTCCTGTGTAGCCTGCAGAACTGTGAGTCAATTAAATCTCTTTTCTCTATAAATTACCCAGTTTCAGGCAGTTCTTTATAGCAATGTGAGAACAGACTAATACACTTTTATTGGTTACAAATATATAGAAGTTCATTGCTTTTTATATATTGACTTTGTATCTGTGACCTTTCTAAGTTCACTTATTAGTTTTATGAGATTTTTAAAAAATTTACTTTTTGTAGATTCTACAGGGTTTTCTATGTATACAATCATGTCATCTGCCAATGATGAAAATTGTGCTTCTTCCTTTCCAATCTTTTCCTTGCCATACTGAATTGGTTAAGATTTCCAGTTCAGGGTTAAATACAAGTGAGAATATTGCCTTATTCCCAGTTGTAGGGGAAATTATTCAATGCTTCACCATTAATATGATGCTATCTGTAGGTGCTTTTGGCAGATGATCTTTATCAGACTGAGGAAGTTTGCTTCTATTCCTAGTTTTAAGCTATTTTTAAAAATCTTAAATTTGCATTGAATTTTTCAATTTTATTTTGCATACATTAAGAGGAACATGCTTTTTTCTCCTCTCTCCTTTATTTTGTTAATGTGGTGATTTTTTAATAGGATTAAACAATTTATGTTTCTATTATTTTTCAAAAGATACAACCATTCTTGGTCATGATGTATTACCATTTTTATAAAAAAATTTATAAAATTTATAAATATTGCTGATTCAACTTGTTAATATTTTATTTAGAGTTTTTACATTTATGTTCATAAGGAATATTGATTTATAATTTTTTCTTTTAATGATCTTGTCAAGTTTTTGTATCAGAGTTATGCTAGTCTCATCAAATGAGGCTGGAATTGTTCCTTCCTCCATTTTCTTAAAGTGTTTGTGTCTATAATTATTTATTTCTTCAATCTTTGATAGAATTTACTGTGAAGATAATTCTATCTACTTTGATAGAATTAACTTAGAGGTTTTTTTTGTCTGTTTTATTAAAATTTATTTCATAGATGGGTTTTTATGTTTTCTTTTTCTTCTTGTTTCTATTTTGTATGGAGTTGTGTTTTTCAAGGAATTTGTCCATTTAAATTACGTTGTCAAATTTGGTGGCATAAAGTTGTTCATAATATACACTTACTATTCTTCCAATGTCCATAGGCTTCATGGGGATTGCTCTCAGCTCTCTCAGCCCTTCTATCCTACCCTCAGACTTAGGAGAGTAGCTGAAGTTTTCATAATGTAGGCCTGGAGTCTCCAATCCCCAGGCCATGGACAGGTCCCTGTCTATGGCCTATTAGGAACCAGGCCACACCGCAGGAGGTGAGTGGTGGGTGAGTGAGCATTACTGCTTGAGCTCCACCTCCTGTCAGATCAGTGGTGGCATTAGATTCTCACAGGAGTGTGAGCCCTATTGTGAACTGCACATGCAAGAAATCTAGGTTATGTGCTCCATATGAGAATCTAACAAATGCCCGATTATCTAAGGTAGAAAAGTTTCATCCCAAAACCACCCCACTAACTGCCAGTCCAGGAAAAAAAATTGTCTTCCCTGAAACCAGTCCCTAGTGGCAAAATGGTTGGGGGTCACTGCTTTAAAGGTGTTTCTTACCTGCCCTGACACCAACCTTTGGTGGACTGCTGCCTTGTAGTTGGGGCAAGTCTCTGCCTTGCACATAAAGGAAGACCCTGTTTGCAATAGAGGGATGTTTGTCAACAACTTTGCCTTATCCCCAGCCTTTAGCTGTGTGATTTAAACTTCTCTATGTAATGTAGCTTTTTTATGACTTCTAGATTTGAGGTCATAGTTAAGTAGGTCTTTCTCATTCCAAGTTTTAAAAGGAATTCTCTCATGTTTTCTTCTAGTATATTTTTGGTATATTAGAGAAGGGGAATTGTTTCTATATATTTAAATCTTATATCCAAATGAATATACGCTGACATGGGTGTGGTATAAACCCAAATTTAACTTTTCCAGAAAACTGTCTAATTGTCTCAACACCAAGTACGGTTCCGTTTTCATTGAGATTTGCCTTTGATCATATATTATTGGGTTTATTGCATGATTTTCTCTGCTGTTTTTGATTGTTTGTTTTTGTCTTTTGGTCTAATTATCTTTTCATTTTTCACTATCACAAGGTTTAATTATTGAGGCTTTATATTTTAATACTTGTTAGGTGTTCTATAAAGTCAAATCCACGGCTGTAGTCACCCGAAAAGCAGCAGTAAAGGAATTCCTACAAGGGAGTTCCCCATATCTTCCTAAGATGGGGCCAGTTGGCATTTCAAAGAAAGAAGCACTGAATACTAGGATGATCAGTCCAGAGCATTCATTAAGGGAACTCCTGTACAGAGGAGTCCGCTACAGATCATCGAGTCAGATGGTAAGACAAGGGATGTTCTACCTAGGTACATCTGCCTTAAGGGGGTCAGGTTATGGGGTTTTATATGAGAGTTTAAGGAATTTGGTTAGTGACACTGGCTAATTTCTACGTGTTTACCAAAAGAGTTATGTTCTCAGTGTTTTTCAGCAACAATCTAAGCAGCTTTATTGGTGCCTGAGAATGTTCATAGCCCCTGGTTGGGTTCAAACCTGCAGGGAACATGTAGCTGGCCAGGTCACAGAGAGGTCAAGACACTCTGTTTCTAGATCAGGAACATGTGTGTGCTTTGGGGAGCTGCATGGGGGACACTGTGGAACTTGTAGTAGGCCTAGTCTTCCATTATTACATTTTGTTTTCAGGATTTTCCCAAGTATGTTAATTGGTTTTTCCATGTGAACTTTAGAATCGTGTGTTCTAAAGCAAAGTTATGGATACTTTTTATTAAACCATATTAAATGTCTAAATTAACTTGGAGATCACTGATGTTATTTATCTAAAGATATCTAAGATAATGATATCTTTCCTTTCATTCAGGGCATCGCTTCTGTCCTTTAATGATGTTTACAATTTTTCTTACACATTTCTTTTAAATTTGCCCCTAGGCATTTTGTCTTTTTTGTTGCTACTATAGTATATGAGGTATTTTCTTCCCATTATATCTTCTAACTAGTTGTATATATATGTATAAATAAAAGCTATTAACCTCTACATCGTCAGGTAGTACCCCAGTATCCTTTTAAATTCTCACACCAGTTTTTCAGTTGATTCTTTTTGATTTTCTAGGTACACAATTAGATCATCTTCAAATAATGATAGTTTTATCTTCTCTTTCTAATTTTATGACTTCAGTTTATTTTTTTCCCTGCTATCAAATTACATTGACTAGTACATTAAGTACGTACATCAAGGAAGCAGGTTATTTTATGTTAAATGATGAAGAGCTAGTTGGCATCCTTATCTTGCACTTAATTTTGATCAGAATGCTTCTGGTGTTTCCTCATTAAGCATCTCAAGCTGAGATACATTTATGCTATTATGTTAAGAAAATATTTTTTTTGAATCCTATATTATGTATTTTTTTGAATCTAGAATAGTTGCTGTCTCTTTAAAGGCAATATGACACACTTTCAGGGACTGATGAGAATCCAAGATCTCCTTGCTGGACCGCAAATCATAATTTAGAGTTATGCCTTAGGAAGGTCATATAGATTATTTTTCTTATAACTATGATTTTACATTTGTTGAAGCTTATTTAATCTTTAGGCCAGGCATGGTGGCTCATGCCTATAATCCCAGCACTTTGGGAGGCCAAGGCGGGTAGATCACGAGGTCAAGAGATCGAGACCATCCTGGTCAACATGGTGAAACCCCGTCTCTACTAAAAATACAATAATTAGCTGGACATGGTGGTGCGCGCCTGTAGTCCCAGCTACTCGTCGGGAGGCTGGGGCAGGAGAATTGCTTGAACCCAGTGGGCGGAGGTTGCGGTGAGCTGAGATCGTGCCATTGCACTCCAGTCTGGGTAACAACAGCGAAACTCCGTCAAAAAAAAAAAAATCTTTAACTGCCCATCCACTTAGCCTCATAAGACCTTTCTGTTTCATTATAATAATTATATTAAAATTTAGCCATTGTACTGTTTTTATAACAAAAATCACATTGTTTAATTTATAATGTATTATATTCTGTTAAGATATAATGAAAAAATAGTGGTGGTTAGTAAAGAAGATGTGATAGATGTTGTCATTCAGTGTGCCATTTAAGATTAATGTGCATCATCATATGAATTATACATACGCAGTTCCATGTATAATTTCAGTTGCATTATAATCATCACATAATTCAGTGTATGCATATGTATTTATATATATTTATATACATGTAATACATAAATATATAAATTTATATAAATACATATGCATACACTGAGTTATGTGATGATTATAATGCAGAATACACAAATTGCAAAAGCAAAAATCAAAAAACAAACTTGTAAAAGCAAAAACCAAACAATAACAACAATGAAAAAAGAATAGTTGCAGAATTTTGACAACTGTCTCTTCAGCATTTATGGAGATAATCTTATTAGGTTTCTTTGTTAGTTATTAATAATATTTCAGGATGAATTATATTAAAAGATTTCCTACTACTGAACCATTCTTGAATTTTTTGAATCAGTCTTACTTGGTCATGATGAATTATTCTTTCAATGTTTTGTACATTCTATTTGTTAATATATAATTTGGGGATTTGGATTACCATAGGTGAAATGGGCCTGTAGTTTTTTGTTTTGTGTGTAAATGTATGTGTGCTTCCTTTGTAATTTTTTATACTGTTTCTAATAATTAGTTTCTGCCTTTAACTTTACCTAGTCTTTCTGAGCTTTCCTATATTTCCCTTTTTCTGAATTTTGGGGTCAAATGTCTATTTATTGGTTGTCATTTTATCATTTTTATTGCTATAAACATTTAATAGATGAATTTTCCTCTGAATACTGCCTTAGCTACATCCCCATAATCTTTTATTTAGTTCTTAAAATATTTTTATTCCCTAGGAAATTTGCAATTTCTTTTTCACATTCTGATCAGAGAATATTGTCTATAGTGTTCATTTTTGGAGCTTTATTGAAGTTTTCTTTACAGTCAATTTCTGTGAGTGTTACAAAAGCATTTGAAAAGAAGTGCTCTCTATTATGGGGCAGAGTATGAAAAATATATCATTCAGATCTACCTCATTAATTGTGTTACTTAGAACTTCTATATTCTTATATTTTTTGTCCACTGGGCCTATCATGGCGAGTTCATCTTTTCCAGTAATAGTGTTTCTATTTCTCTAGTTTGTATATCTGTTGTTCTACAGTATGTGATAAACAAGTATTTATAAATATTATATCTTCATTGTAAACTCTATCATTTTAGTTTATTTTTTTTCTAACCTAAGCTTACCTAGGTTTCAGGCACCATTTTAGTTTCATAGAATGATTTTCTTTGCCTTTTAAATGCTTTTTGGCAATAACTTTACCTTGTTTCTTATTTAAACTTATAATTCCTGCTTTCTTTTTGTTTGCATTTATTTCGCTTTTCTTTGCCACAACCCCCCCGCCTTTTTATTAAACCTCTGTGAATGATCTTGTCCTTTGTCATAGAATATAGAATAAGGCTTTACTTTTTGGCTTTCAATTTGAAATTCTTTGTAAAAAGGAGAATTAAGTGAGACTCTGTCTCTACAAAATAAAAAATAAAATAGTCAGTCATGGTGGTGTGCACCTATAGTCCCTGCTACTCAGGAGGCTGAGGTGAGAAGATCGCTTGAGCCTGGGAAGTCAAGACTGCAGTGAGCTGTGATCTTGCCACTGTACTCCAGCCTGGGCGACACAGTAAGACTGTCACAAAACAAAACACAAAGAAGTAACCCATCAAAAAATTTTCATCCTTTTGGTTTATGTGATTTTTTTTCAAATAAATCTTTCAGTATCTGGGCTATTTTATGTTTCTTTTTGCTTTTTTTCCCTCTCTGTAATTCTTTCAATATTTAGGAAGGTATGGATTTTTGTTCTGATAATTACTTTTAATTTCTATAATACTCTTGGTTCTTTATTTCTTCGAGCAGTATCTATTTAATAATATATAATGAGCGATGATAAAATTAAAATTCTCTCTCCCTCCTTTTCTCTATCCCATACCTGACTTTAGGCAATAATGCCATCTTTTTTAGCATTGTGCTGTGAAATATAAGCTTTGTAGACTTTAAATGATATCTTTTGTCACTTAGCTACTTCAGATGTGACAATCAACAACTTCTGTTGCTCCTACCTTCTTTTCCTCTTCTGTATTTTAGATGCCTTAGCTCTCTACATTGTCTAATAGTTACATTCTACTGTGTTCCCATAATTCACATTTGTTTGATCTTAATTGTATAGTGAAATATATTCATCACTCACCTACAGTCCTTTTGCTATTGTTCACCAGGCATCTCTTGTTGAGCTAACATTTATATTTTGATAGCTTTTGCAAGATCTCACATATAGAGCATTCTTTGAGATTTTCCTTGTTTACCACTATTTGTATGAAGCCTTTACAGTAGAAAGTCACTTTGGGCCGGGTGTGGTGGCTCAAGCCTGTAATCCCAGCACTTTGGGAGGCCAAGGTGGGTGGATCACGAGGTCAAGAGATCGAGACCGTCCTGGTCAACATGGTGAAACCCTGTCTCTACTAAAAATACAAAAAATTAGCTGGGCATGGTGGCACGTGCCTGTAATCCCAGCTACTCGGGAGGCTGAGGCAGGAGAATTGCCTGAACCCAGGAGGCGGAGGTTGTGGTGAGCCCAGATCACGCCATTGCACTCCAGCCTGGGTAACAAGAGCGAAACTCCATCTCAAAAAAAAAAAAGAAAAAAAAAAAAGTCCCTTTGCTTGGATATAAAATACCTATCTCACACTTTTTTTTTTTTCTTTAAGATACTATAGGAATTGCTCCATTATCTTTTGGCCTTCAGTTTTGTTACGGAGATATCTGAAGGCCAGACTGATCTTCCCCTTATAAACAACTTGATACTTTTGCTAAGCTATCCAAAGGATTCTTTCTTTATCTTTAAAATCCAATTTCTTTCTCAAGGGTAACCATTCAGGATAACCTTGCCTTAATATACGACATGTCTTTTCTCTATGCAGATTCACATTTTCTTATATTTCCATGAAATTTTCTTGAATCGTATCTTTAAATATTTGCTATATTCTCATTATCTTGGTTTCCTTCTTTGAAGACTATCATGCATATGTCAAATCAGCCTGGCCTCTTCTCAATATCTCATTTTCTAGCTAATATTTTAACTTTTCCTTTATTTCCGTTTTATTTTGCTTTCTTTTATAGTTTCCATTCTCCACTTCCCTTGTTTTTTTTTTCTTATAGTTATTCTCCCTTTCATCCTTTCCAGTTTTATCTCTATTTCTTTGCTGGTTTTATCAGTTATGTGTAATTCTTCCCAGAATTCCACCAGCTTCTGTATCATTCCCTCCTGTGTTGCCATCTTTGAGGTCCTGCATTTCTGTGTTGTGATCTTTCATCAGTGAGGAGGATGGCTTCTTATGCTCTTAAAGTTGGTGAAATAAATGGTTACGATTTTTGTCTGCTCCATAGTAACATTTTTTCTGATGAGTCTTCTTTGTTCTTCGCTAAGTGTTGCTGTTCTTTTTCCATTAAAAAATTGACTGTACTGATGCTGGGCCAGTTGTTCTTTCTCTTCTTCCTCCTCTTCCTTCTTTTCCTCTTCCTTCTTCTTCCCCTCCTTCCCTCGTCTTACTCATCATTGAACTTCTTGAGTTCCTAGGTTACTAACTTTGCAGGAGCTTTAAGTATGTGCATATGGATAGGAACCACACACGGGGGAACAAGCTGAGCTAGCCTTCCTTCATAACCCACAGACTTTTTCCTTTTCTGCTGTCATGACTGCATGTCTCTTCAATTTAATATGGCCATGAGATTCCTTGTGTGGTACCATCTCTTTTGCTTCAAGGAACCACCCCAAGTCCTGGAGGGCTTCTGCCTCCAGTTTTGTTTAACTTCAGTCCTGTATCTATTGTTGCCACAAAAGACAGAGCATCTGTACTTAAGGAGAGGCCTTTGCTGGAGCTGCTGTAATTTCTGGAGTCTACTAATGCTCAGACCCCTCACAGCTCTCTGTCCCTTTTCCCCCCACATCCTCAGTGCAGCTTCTGCATCACCTGCTCCTTTGGGGAGTCTTTACTTATATTTGGTAGTCTGCAGACTATACCTGCCTTCAAGTTTTGATGATAATGGGGTTTGTGGCTTTTAAAAAGATAATCTTTGTTGCTTTTTAGTTGTTTTTCTGAGAGAGGAAAAAAGGCTGATTGGATAGAGCCATGTTCATGCCAAGAGTGTTTGTTCTCTGTGGTTGCAGTCACCCTTTACTACTTCACAGAGACTGGCTGCCATAAGTACATTCCTGTTCCTTATTGTAAATGTGGCTTTTGGGCCTCGATTATTATTATTATTTTTTAGATGGAATCTTACTCTATAGCCCAAGCTGGCAGGCAGTGGCATGATCTTGGCCTACTGCAACCTCTGTCTCTAGGGCTCAAGCAATTCTCCTGCCTCAGCCTCCCAGGTAGCTGGGACTACAGGAATGTGCCACCAGGCCCAGCTAATTTTTTTGTATTTTTAGTAGAGACAGGGTTTCACCATATTGGCCAGCCTGGTCTTGAACTCCTGACCCCAAGTGAACCACCCGCCTTGGCCCCCACAAAGTGCTGGGATTACAAGTATGAGCCACCATGCCCAGCTGAACTATTTTAAAAATTATGTTAACACATTGCTTCTATAATTTAAAAGAAATAATTAATAAAAAGAGAGATGAAAAACATAAGCTCACTGATTATAAAGACATTTGAGATGTCTATATTGTTCATATGTATTTATTGGTAATAACTATTTTAATGTATTAGGTTAGTATATAAATTTATATTACATATCAATACATTTTTAAAATCCTTGTGTTTTTTTTGTAGTTAAGGTATCATAAATATCATTTTTATAGCAGCACAATATTACATTACTCAACCATGATTAATTTAAACAATACCCCATTTTTAAGGCAGTTAAGTGGTTCCTTATTCTATTATAGACAATACTATGATAAATACTATTACAGCTAAATATTTTATGCTCATTCTATTTCCCTAAGTAAAATTCTTAAAATTAGAACTCGCATTTCATTCCCTGAAAGAAAACAAGAGAGAAAGAATTTGCAAGGGTTAGAAAATTTTTGATTAGATGATATTGTCATTTTAATTCACATTCTAAAGAGCAAGTCTGTCAAATGAACT